TCTACATAACTCCTGCCAATTTTTTTTGACACATCTCCCCACAAGAGAAAATACGTACACATCTTTCGTCAAACAAAAGTTTCAACAAATTGTTGCCCCCTCATACTTTTTATCCTGGCTCCGCCCCTGTATGTAGAATATCGTAAGCCCGTAACTAGAATTGAAGTAAGATGTGCATGATACTGGCGTTTATCATCAGAGCTGGTCAAGTTAGACTTGTCTAAATGTTTGTTGGGCTGCTACATTTTAGCAGTCGATGCAAATTTGGTCACTTGTAGGTGTTTTTTTATACATGTGTTTGCTCTGATCTGTGATGATAAATTTTAAATGAAAAATGAGAGAAACGAATGATCCAACAACCACTGATTTCGTTGATCTTTGAACTATATATACAAGATGAAGAGACACCTAGAAAAGGTGTTAGTTACATGCGTCGGTTCAGTGTTGAACACACCGCTTAGACTAATGATGGTTCACTAACTACCACATGTTAATTATTAAACCCAATGTGCTAATTCTATTTCTAACATTTTTAGCACTTTAGCCAAATTGATCACTGCCTGCTAATTACCTACTACCTAGGTTAAACTCATATTCTAACTTTTGCTCTTGTCACAGTACAGTGGCCCGTCTGTGCAAAGATGCAATGGCATATGCGGACTGGCTTAGCAAAGATTTTACCAGCGTCTCTCATATATATACTCCTCCAGATTTCTCCAGCGCATGCTTTTCCTCGGCTGAAAAGCTAATAATCGGATAATAGATATTGTCCCAGACCATGAGACTATCCAAGAGTTGACAAGCTAATAATAATTGTTGTAGTGCGTACACAATTTCGGTTAAAAACCAACACTGTCTTTCTAAACTGTCCTGGTACGGTGCTTCTCCTGATATATACTGCTGTGCGTGCATGGTAGCAACCTTCCTGCTAGTAGCTGTTTTTCCTGTTGCTTCCATTTTATATTATATTTTGTTGAACGAACCTGATTTTAAGTGATTATACTATTACTGATATGTATTGAAACCAGTATATTCTTAATTTGTTTTTCTTATAAATAAATGCTGGGCTAAGGAAATTAAGTTTAACCAAGACCTGCGGTCTGTAGTTGAGATAGGAAATTTTGAAGCTTCTAGGATCATCTTACATGCAATGCAAGCTGGATAAAAAACCATCTCTCTTGCTCTGCTTAACACGCTGAAAGTGCATTATATTGTTTTTCAAGTATATATTCTCTTGTGCGAGAGTTATGTAGCCTTTACTTTGTTAGTTCGCTTCGCTTCACTGAATTTGCATCGTTTGTGCGACAGTTATGTATCCTGACAGGGCACCAGAGGTACGACAAGTGTCACTTGTACCGCGACGACGCCTAGATCGTCTCAAACTGAGCATCATCCAGTCTAGTGTAGTACTGTACTGTACGTAGTTGATTAATGAGATACAAAGGGTTCCATAATATAAGATGGTTTTGCAAGCTAAAACAGTAGACGAAGAAGATGAGCTGCATCAGCTCATCCCACTAATCAGCATGCATGCATATTAGCTAGCTTAAATTCAGCCCTCTTCACTCAGCATCCTGTTACTACTGTACCTGCTGCCTGTAAAGCTAATCCAGTCGAGCTTAATTGATCATGTATGATGATATCTTGAGACAGGCAGGATGGATTAATGAAATCGACATTCTCATCCTCTTTAATTGAATTGAATTGAATTGTTTCAACCAACAATGATGGATGGACGGAGCCCTTGAGAATGCTGGCTCGCTAGCAGCTCAGCTCAGCTCAGCTCAGCTCAACTCAACTCAAGTGATCTGATTGGCTAATAAGTCAAGTGAGAGAAGCTAAGCAATCAGTCATGTCAGTCACATGGGTTGTTTGGTCTCAGTGTCTCACAGCCTCCAGATTTGATACTCTTCCAATCCTAGCATATGCATGTGATGTGATTGCTCCAGGATTCTCTTGTCTGGAACAACTCTGGAATGGATGACAAACCCCACCTGCTGTCCTCAACAAATTCCTTGACTAACCGACTCACTGAATTTAGATTGCTGAAGCTAAGCTAGCGTGCAGCAACCCCGGCCAGTACTACTTACTAACTACTTCAGTTAACTGCTGCAAGCATGAAGAACTAATGACAGATTAATCA